GGATCAGTGGCACAAATCTGTTTAATGTGCAAATAATGTATTTGCTAGAGGACCCTGCAAATATGAGGGTTTACCATCCAAAAGTGACCACATACAATATCAACTCGTCAGAGAGTCTGTATTTAACTTTTCAATGTTATTATTGTAATTTTAGTGCTCTGTATTGGCTAGTAAAATTTCCTGTTTGTTCGTAATACTCAATGATGTTTTGTGTTCTTATGATGGTACAGTTTTACTTCAAGGACTGATGCTATTATGCATATTTTCTATGGATGATGAGGAATAGCAAATTCCAATCTTGTGTTTTCATGCTAGCTAAAAGTAAATTTCCAAATATTTGATAATACAAGATCTGAAAGTACAAGATTTTTTATTAATAGGTCTGCTAGTTTAGATTATGAGGAGAAAATATTATATTTGTTGGTAATATTGCTTACATCCTTTATGTATTCTTGTTTTAAGGGTGTCATATTAATTGAATATAGGCATTCAATTTGATTTACTGTTGTTCTGCTAATCATAGCAGGTTTCAGTGTCGCACTTGTGTTTTTCAGTAATAAACAGGCTCTGTTGACCACCAATATAATATTTATTTTTTCTTCATTCTTTTGGAAAGCACTGTAAACTATTTACCATGCAACTGATCTGGTATTAAACTACAGTACACATTATTAAAATCTATGTGAGACTGAACTCTCTGTGCCCTACTCTCTGACTGGAGTCCCTGTTCGTAAAGGAGTTACCAAACCAGCTTCCCAGTAATATTTGCTCTGAGATCCCTAAGCATCTCTTGGGCACAGCAAAAATAAGTTGTAAACATATTGGCTTATTGTCCACTTTTAATGCAGTAAATTTGTTTCTAAACTTGCAGCTGGGGCTTTTTACATACTTTATAGCCTTAAATGTGCCTCTCTATTGTGTTCTACTCTCTTCTGGAACGCTGATAATGTAAAACAAGCCATGCAAATGTGTCCTCTGCATTGATCTGAATGGAAGATAACCTTAACCAGAGCAACAACTAGCACGGTGATAAAACCAGCCTGACATTATGAACCTGTGAAACATGCCACTGCTTGCCATGTACGTGGGTTTCATCATCGCTCACTTAGAGCAAATTGCAAGACCTAGAGATGTCTGCAAGTGATACTGAAGATAATATTTGAACCAGAACCTCTCTGCTAAAGTTCATGCAACCAAAGTAGAGTTGGCTAACATGACTAGCATTCAGCTCTGTGCTCATAATTTTATCACGTCTGCTGCCACACTGGCTGACTTGAACATTGCAATTGCTGTCACTGCTGCTGCTGTCTGCAATTGAAAAGTCAGTGAGACAGCTCTGCAGTACAGTAAATCAAACATTTTACAGCAAACATAAACTCACTTAGACAGTAAACCTTACTGCAGTAGCTATGAAACAAAAAAAACAACAACTGAAAAACAGACACTGCTGCATATCAATCATTGATATCTAGACGTCTGTCTGCCCACATATTTGCATCAACATCACAGCAAATGTCAGCTCTATCGATGCATCGGGGAAAGTATCTTCTGGAGTGTC